GGAAGATAAGGAAGGCGGCCTGAGAAGAGAAGCAACGAACACAAATTGGATATGTTGTTATTTTGTGTCTCAAGAAAAAGACGAAACCTGAATTATGCACTGCTGTCTTTTTCTGTCCCCACCTCCCATTTCCATTACAACACATCAACATTCTTATTTATATATATATATTTCTTTTATTCTTCTATTATTGTTTCCTTTTCACGGGGCTAGATCGTGTTTTCGGTCTAGCCCCCGTGATTCCATCTCAGCCCGTTGCCAGGCTCGACTGTCACGCCCCTGCGGCCGGGCCAAACCACCCGTTCTCTACAATTTAATCTCTAGTCGTCGCCCACTCTCTTCTCTCATATCCCTCCACTGCAGCGCTGAAGTTAGGCGGTCTTCGCCCTCGGAATCATCTATCTCCCTAGGGGCAACACTAGGGTTAAGAGTGACAAGGGAAGACCCGACCGTCGTTCTCGAATCTCTAGCGCCGTTAAGACAGATTCAAACATATATCTCTTCGTCGCGACGGTAGCCCGACTTCCACTCTTCCCTTGCACCACAACATTGTCGTCGCCATCTCTCCCGGCCCCCTTCCGCGTGCGCGATTTAGAGTTTTGGTGTGATATGTGCGTAAAATAAAAGTAGGTTTGATTTATGTTTCAATTGGAAATAAGTAATGAGTTAATGTGTATGAAAGAAAATATACTTTATTTACCATAAAAAAAATATTATTAAAATAAAAATGAAAAAAAACAGTGGAACCGGTCCAACCATGATCTAGTAACTTGTCCAGAACAATATCCGATTCAATTTTCATATAGGGACAATAATATCATTTTTATAACACGGATCTCAAATGAAAGTAAAGATAATTCTTTATTCTTGTAACATTCTTGCTTTTGATTATTGAGTTGGAATTTAGAAGGATGGCGAACAAGCATCAAGCATCGCATATTTATGTACATAGCCAAGAAAATAAAATTCACGAAGGCTTTAGAAAATTTTGTAAACAATATTTCAAAGATATTTCGAAGTACAAATAAGTAATAACACACAAGTTATGAACTTGGTCCACCGAATGTTCCAATAAAAGAAAGAGGTCCACTCGGAGAATCAATAAAGGAAAACGTGATAATTGAATACGCAAAAAGAGAAAAAAAATAGTTGATTTGCATGTAGTCGACTAGAATATAGTTAGCTGAGAAATTAGTCGATTTGGATGTAATCGACTCAAAAATAGTTGTATAGATAGATTGGTGATGTTGTTGTCTATAATAATTAAGGACTTAATCAATGAAAAAGATAATTGAATGAAAAAAATTAAAGTTGACTAACATGTAAGCCACTACAATTCAATGGGAACAGCGCCCCCGATTTATTTTTTCCAGGTTTTCGTATAAAACTGTCGAAATTAATACATATTTGTAAAATATAATTTTGTTAATATATATTGTAACACATAGAAAAATGTGCAAAATATGGAGAAGAAATAAAGAATTTTGGGGGTCCAAAACTCATATTTACATAAAATTATTGGAATATGTTTATTAAAATAAAAAAGGTAAATTACAATCACCCACTGATGTATGGTTAATTTATGAAAACAACTCTCTTGTTTGGATAATTACATCTACTCCCTTAACTATAATTTTTTCTTACATCTCCACACTTATGGTGTCATATTCAACATAATCATCTAGATTTCATGGAATGTGCTTTAATTTGTACTCGTTTTGTGTAAAAATACAATTTTTGATGCACCATAATCTAATATATACAAGCCAAAAAACACATATTATGATCATCTTGTTTCAAAAAGTAGAGTTCGAATGGGATAAAACAGGAACAAAAGTGATAATATTGCATATAATCTCAAAGATTCCACTAAATTTGAAACTAAAAGGGTGGATGTGTAAAAAAAATCTATAGTTGAAGGATGGTTGTAATTACCCAAACAAGAAGAGATTTTTTGTAATTTGGGCATACCTCAGGGGTAGTTGTAATTTACCGTTAAAACAAAAAGGTTTTTGGAATTATGGGGGCGACAGCCCCCCCTAGTCATCACTGTTGGTGATTAGGACAATGTTGTCGACTTTATTTATTTATTAATTTTTTAAATCCAAGTTGTCCACTTTTAATCATTATTAGTCAAAGTGGTTTTTCTACCATTTATCATTGCACTAATATCTTAATGTACATAAGTAATCTAGCTATAGGTAGGTGATGTTTACTTAGATTTGTTTAATTAGTACAATTAACGGTATAAACCGTCACTATTAAATATAGAAAGTCAACTTTTGAATAAATTAGTGGAGCTCATACATACAAGTTTTGCTTATTATTAACAATCTAAACTAAGCATTGTTTAACCATTTGTTTATGTGTGATATCAAGATTACATGCCCGTTTCCCATCATTCTTTGCACGTGTGGCATTCCAAACGTTTATTTATTTATGGGTAAATTACACCCACACCCCTGAGGTATGCTAAAATAACTTTAAGGTCCATGTGGTATTGATAATTACATTCACCCCCGGAAACATAGTTAGAATCCCCAATGGGATAACGCATTGGATTTATACGTTATTCCGTTAGGGTTCTAACGGACTATTACTTTTACCTAGTGGTGGAAACAATATAGAGTTAGGGGGTGACATGGCTCCCACAACATTTCGTAAATCACGTATAACTCTTTGTTGTCTCCACTGCTTCCTGAAACTAATAGTGCATTAGAACCCTATCGGAATAACGTATCTAATGCATTATCCCATTAGAGTTTCTAACTATGTTTCAGGGGGGGTGAGTGTAATTATCCATACCACGGGGACCTCAAAATTATTTTAGCATACCTCAGGAGTATGGGTGTAATTTACCCTTTATTTATTTATTTACTTTATTGTGCACTTTCACACACTAAACGCACGACGAAGTTTAAGTCCGTGGGGCAGAATGTATTAAAAAAATATATGAGGGGGCCTGCTTACATAATTTTTTTTTTATAATTTTATATATATATAATAATAGGCATTTGAGAAATGAGAATGGCGATGGCCCTTGTTGGCGTTATGCTGGCTCCGCCACTGCTTTCACGAAATGTCACTCTATCAGTCTTACAATATCACCTCCTTTAGAAAAATTATTTTTTCTTTCATGTTATATGTCACTTTACAATCTCATTAATGCATAGGTGACTTATTTTTTTCATATATACCCTTGTTAATTTTCTTCAACATTTTATTTTATCAACTCATATTTTTCTCATATCATTGATGGACAAGCATAATTTAGTTTTTATGTGTGTGTAAGATCATTGTCTTATAAGTGAGAGGAGATTAAAACTCAGAGTCTTTGACGTCACACTCTCTTAATCCGTTAACTAGGTCAATCCTTGTAGTTAAACGAAAAGCAATTTGAAGAAATGACCTTTAAATCTTTGTGTATTGACATCTAATCGAAATGTTTATGTTTTGGGATTCATAGGTGAAAGAAATAATCTTTTCTAGGAATAGTAGTTAAATTGGCTTGTTACGATATCATACTACGGTAGCTACAACTGTAGATTTAAGGACTTTCAAAATATGCTTTAAAGATCCATGGTTAACGATGACTCTCATGAGCAGTTAAATTATTTTTATTATTATTATTATTGGTGGTGGTGGTGGTGGTGTGGTTAATTTATTTTATAGGGGTAATTAGTGAAAAATCCCCGACTCATTTACTTATGTTTAAGGTGGATACAACTACATTTTCAATATTAGTAGACCCCCTAATTAATTAATTAAATAAATATCTATTAAAATTTAAAGTAATCTCTTTAATCCTTTCGTCAATAATATATAATTTATTTTTTCCACATAAAACCCTAATCACATAAATTCATCGTCTCTTGTTCTATTTTCTCTTCTTTCCACAGATTTCGCCTCTCCACCTCCGCGCCACTGCCGTCGCTCCACCAACACCGCCCCACTTCGTCAAGGTCGGCATCATGGTACTTACAGATCTCGTCTTCCTCCACTATCCCCTGCAATTTTTTCTTCATACTTTCTTTTTCTCTTTT